AATAGTGTTTTCAGTCTTTTTCTTTAGAAATTTCAGAAATGGATAAAGCTACGAAAATATTATTCAGTAAAGTGTGATGAAAACAAAACACATTTAACGAATCAGGAGGAGGGTCCAGACCCCAACACCGTTGCCACGACTCCCACGCTCCCCGCTTAAACGCGCACTTCTTCAGACTCCAGATTTTTTTTGAAATACTTGCTTTTCGAACCAAAATTGTTAGGTAAAGACTGAATATTGCGCATGAGTGATTCCCCAAACGTCGTAACACGTGTGAAAGCCAGGGCAGCGGAGAGATGGGAATAATTACCCAGGAAAACATTTTCATCCTTGAGGGAAAATTGGGCCAAAATTGGTTTTGTCGTCCATGAGTAAAACTCAGATTTTATCCGACACAAATTTGACTTAATATTGGTCTAAAATATACTATGTCAGGAAGAATTTATTGAGTGATGATATTCATTTCCTTCACTCGGGGTCTCAACCGATGGTACCTCAAAATTACAATTCCTGAGAGAGAATATACTTTTTTCCCAGGTTTCCTCAAGGCCCAAAATTTGGTTTCATTGACAGAGTTGAAGCAATTAATTTTCTCCCTTAAAAAGCGTATTTCGTGTCCTTTCCTTTGCTCTAACATGGCTCGATCGAAACGTTGGCTTTTTTTCACCATACAGTAGTTTAGAAGCTCCATTAAGTCGTTCGGTAAGGCATAATTTTGTAGTACATTACCCAATTGACGCATCACCACAGCTTCTTTAAAAAGAAATTAACCTACCCCAATTCTTTTAAAGGGCTAACTAGGCCATTCACTTAACTTACCGAATGGTTTCACACATGTTCAGATTGATAATTCAAAATATTATATTAAAATATTCTCCAAAATGATTGTTCTAACTCAACAACGGAGACAACGAATTCGTACCAAGAAAAGTAATGTCAGCGGTTTATTTGATGGACAAAATTCCAAAGACCTGATTCGAGGATCTTATACTAACGAAAATAGTACAAAACGATTTTTTTATATTATGCATTTATATCGATTTGCATTTTTAAGCGTGATTCGTAATGATCCTAAGTCATATTTGCCTGCCTTGGGTGTGATAATGTCAATAAAAGATTTGCTTTGCCAAATTGAAGTTTGGAGCTCATAATTAACAAATATAAACAAAGTTGACTATTTGGGCAATGTTGTGACTTTAAATCCCTTTTTACGTCAGTGTTTTAACTAGGGAAGAGTTGGTAGCTTAATGTTTTTAAGTGTCTGTTTAAGAGTTTTTACTGAACAATTATTTTTTTGGTTTATGCAGTAAAACGGATAAATACGCTCATGGTAAAGGATGGTGATGATTAACAGCAGCTGGGCTCAGTAGCCTTTTAATTCCTCTCGTAAAACCGATGGATTTCGAAATTAAACTGAGTTGACAAACACTGAGTGTTCTTAAAATGTCACCTTCACTTCACATCTCTTTGTCACTTAAAAACAAAACAAAACAAAACAAATAAACAGAGACATAAACTGTGCTTTTAGTCATTATTGAGTTACTAAACTACAAGTTGACGATATGTGAGCAAAATTCCTAGGAAAGATATAACTGCCGTGAGCCTGCAGGCCATTCTTCACTGACAAATGACGGTATTTCATGAAAGGGTTGTCGTGAGTGCTCTTCGTTTTGGATTATGAGTGTTTGGACTTGCAAAACCTCCAATGTAACTGAGACACTTGCTTTTTATTTCAGAGTTCCTTTCGATGACATGTCATAATGACTCGAAAAAGGTATGCATTCAGTTTAAACTCCAAAATGTACACTTTACAGAGGTTACCAACGGTGCTTATCTAGGGCGCAATATACTCCAAAAATACGGCGAGCATGAATGTTACATTCAAAGACCTTCAAACAACCACTTCTGCCATCTCTTCAAAACTGAAAAGAAACAGGCATGTCTTTCTTACCTTAAACTTGAAGGATAACAGAGCATCCAAGAAAACACCTTTTCTTGTTGCCTAACAGCTCCAAATAAAAATCCTAGAGAATATATGTTAATTCAGTTCAGCTGTTTATACATATAATCCTTCTGTTGTTTAAGCGCGATTATTATTAAACAAGGCATGTCGTTCCCGTTGCTGAGTTTATTATATAGAGGATTTTATTTATCTCATTGCCGGGTAAGATTTTAACTGCAACGAGGATATTGAGTAGTTGAGCTCTGAGGTTAATTAACAATCAATCAGTGACGAGGGTGAGTATGAAATGGAGAATTTTGCATTGGCAGATCGAGGAGGTTGTTGCCCGAGATCGGAAAATTCTTCATATCATAAGACAATTTTTGTACTGTCCATTTAAAATATTTCTAAGTTTTTAACAATCTCACCTTCCCCTGGCTTTTCTTGAAAACATTTGCCGGTTTCTCGACTTAGTTTTGAATAATATTGTACAGACGTTTTTTTTTTCTTAGCAGATACTCCTCATAAAATAGAGTACATCCATAAAGAAATATTTGTTCTTTCAGTTTTAGTAATTACTTCGGTTTTTTTCGTTTTTGGATAGCCAAAACTTAGGCTGACCACCCCGATGGCTGAAATAGAGGTTGAATCGTATTATGGTGGTAAAGTACCATCGTATCGATGGTATATCGCTTGCATCTTCCAAATTTGGTCCCCGGAACCAGGTGGCTATGAAGGATCATTAAAAACTGAATCATTGGTTATTACAATGCTAGAGTTTTGATTGGCTTAGCCATCATATATTGGCTCATAACCTATGCTTTTCGAACATGGTCAGATAACGCGTCACTTCAAGACTAGAAGCGAACTAAAAATTCTTCTTCGCAAAGGAACAGATGGAGCGCGAAAAAAATTGTTTTAATTATCACAACTCTAAAAAATGCAATTTCACCAGAAGACACGAAGAACTTCATAAACAAGCTTTTCATGAGTTTTCTGTACGACGAACAATTTTCCGCTATGACTGAGCTAAAGACAGTGTAAAAAGCCAAATTCACAGTTATCTCGAGGACTTCGGTTGAAAAATTTTTCGTTCACGTTATCCTCAACTTTTTAGCTGTCGAGCAGAGTCACAGAGTAAAATCCAAGGCCGATCGTGATGGCATTTAAAAGTGTTCATGGCTTCAAAGTTTTTTTTTTTTT